TTAGCGGATTTTGACCTTCATTTTTCCCATTTTGGATTTGTATTTGCGGATTTTGACCTTCATTTTTCCCATTTGGATTTGCATTTGCGTACTTGGATCAATATTTGCGGATTTTGACCTTCTTTTTTCCCATTTGGATTTGCATTTGCGTACTTGGACGAGCCTTTGCGGATTTTGACCTTCATTTTTCCCAGTTTGGATTTGCATTTGCGGATTTTGACCTTCATTTTTCCCATTTGGATTTGCATTTGCGGATTTTGACCTTCATTTTTCCCATTTGGATTTGCATTAGCGGATTTTGACCTTCATTTTTCCCATTTGGATTTGCATTTGCGTACTTGGACGAGCATTTGCGGATTTTGACCTTAATTTTTCCCATTTTGGATTTGCATTTGCGGATTTTGACCTTCATTTTTCCCATTTGGATTTGCATTTGCGTACTTGGACGAGCATTTGCGGATTTTGACCTTCATTTTTCCCATTTTGGATTTGCATTTGCGGATTTTGACCTTCATTTTTCCCATTTGGATTCGTATTTGCGGACTTTGACCTTCATTTTTCCCATTTGGATTCGTATTTGCGTACTTGGATCAGCATTTGCGGATTTTGACCTTCTTTTTTCCAATTTCGGATCTGCATTTGCGGATTTTGACCTACATTTTGCCAATTTTGGATTTGCATTTGCGGATTTTGACCTTCATTTTCTCATTTGAGATTTGCATTTGCGGATTTTGACCATCTTCCCATTTGGATATGCAATTGCGTACTTCGACCAGCATTCTTTCCATATTGGATTTTCATTTGCGTACGTATTTCGAGCTGCATTAGCGGATTTCCTTCGACATTTGCGTATTTGGATCTGCTTCTTTACACCTCATTTGAACGCATGCAAGTCGTGTTTGGATTCTTTCGTGCCAGCATTTTGAAACTGCTCTTTCTGGGATCGTCTGAACCGGAAGAACGGCCAGCTAGGTGAGTTACTACTTTTTGTTACTTAATCAGACATCTAGAAACAAGGTGTAGGGTGTAAATGACGCTAACATTGTAATTTGTCTCCTTTTCAGCAGAGTCCACCGGTTAATGTTGCTCGGTGGACCGTGAGGAAAGTCAAACAAGATGACAAAAGAAATTATGTGATATCCTGATAACTGATATCCTTTCTCTAATAGCCTGAAATATTCCAGCCAGGCCATTTGCGGACTGATTCTAATTGGCACTCAGTTTTGGTAACCTTGACGCTCATCCTGACATGCCCATTAACAGCTTTTGCACGTTACGTTGAATTTTCAGGCCTTGTGTGCACTTCGCTCAAATTCCGCATTACATGTAAAAAAAGCAGTTGCAACAAAATTAATTGTTTTAAGTAAGAAATATAGAAGTGTCAAAACCTGAACTGGTTTAGTTCCCAAATTGTGAGCCAAGTGATACTCTAGACTTGAAACATTCCTGTTCGGTTGGTTCTTATGTGCATGTGTGGTTGGTGGTGAGCAGGATGACGTCCCAAATTTCCTCAGCAATGGAGGTACACCTTGACGTGGTGCTGGGGCTTTTGCTAAGATGCCTCCCACAAAATCAAGTAAACAACAACGTTAAGCTGTGGTCTACTACAAAGGAGGGACGGTCTTGCAAGGATTGGATGCTCATTACTCGTGTTAGGTGTTAACCTTCACCTAACACTCGTGTTAGGTGAAGGTTAGACATCTAAGTAATGAGACGCGCCAAAAACCAGTTACTCGAGCATTTAGATTTGATTTTGAAAACACCTCCTCATCGAGAGACTGCATTTAGCTATAAGCTAGCCGTCATCTCCCAACATTCCAGGGGATGGATGAAGGAATGAAGGATGGGTTGAAGAATGGATGGACTGGATGTCCTCACTGTTCTGCCATACCTGCTTGAATACAGTAATGAAGTATTTAACTTAACAGAATCAAGACACACTTCCAGACGACTTACTAATAGACGAAGGATATTTAATCGAACGTTCAATGACTATTTTGGGTCAACATTACAACTTCTGTCAGTTTCAACTCTGTCTTACTGGTCATGTCAATTCAGAGACAAATATGTTTGAAATCCATTTCTTTATCGATATTCCATTCAGTCAATACATAGCAACTGTGTCAGCTGACTTAATAGACAACCAAATAGGCCACATGGAGAGTAATCCCGTACACTAGTGTCTAAAGATTAATTAAGTACTAACAATTCATTTTTAGTCGCGAGAAATGGCACAATAAACGTGGTTTGCGTCTTCCGCAATCACACTGGGCCACTCTAGATATGTTTGAGTTGGATTCTGTTTTACTCCACCCTAAAAGTACTGAGAATGCCTACGAAGTTGAGATACATGTAGGCCTTCTCCGAGAAGATGTAGCAGTCCTGGCCCTCATCCATGCTCGGGTGCCTGGGGACGTTGTACCCGGCAGCGTACTCGACGACAAGGCCCTCTTCAACCGCCAGGTGGAGTTTTTGAGCTAGGCGCGGTCACCGTTGCGGTCCATCCCGGTGCTGACTGCGATGGTGCCCTCCAGAGGAAGGCCAAGGTCGAGCTCTTAGTAGTCGTCAGTGAGGGGTTGATCACTACGGAGACAAGAATGATTCATTATTACCTGCATGAAAAATCGAAATCTTTAAAATCCAATACGCCATCATTTTTGGTGTGGGTAACTGAGAGAGAGTTGTAAATAATTTAATGCAAATTATGCAAATTAGGACTTAATTTGCATAATCAAGGAAACAATTCTATAATTATTGTTTTATATAATAGTACTCTTATACATGTAATTTAATTAATATGTGGCAGGCGGAACATTAACAGATACAAATTATGCAAATGATGACATAATTTGCATAATTAATGTGAAAATTCTGTGACTCCTTACTGGTGAATGATGAGAATTTTATTTGTGACATGCGTAAGTTACTTAAAGATTAACACCACTATGCATATATTATGTTATGAAATCATTTGCATAACTAGATAGAAATATTAGCGGTTGCTAATATAGACAGGTTCGCGTTGTAGTGTAAGCTAAATCAGCTAAGGTTAAGATTGCACAACGGACGTGCCCCATGACCTTCGACCTTTTGGGGGTCATGCAGGCGTCAACAGCGCCCTCCCTACGCCTCGCCCGTCCGTTTTCGTGGGCAAATTTCTGCTTTTTTTTAGAGGTTTCGGGACCTAAAAACTCACACCAGGGGGAGAAATAAGCCACATACGTTATTTTCATGGTAAACATCGCTAAAATGGACCAGCTGTATCACACCGAACGGCTTGTTACACTCAATCTTTGCACATTTGATTGCAGGAGTTGTATAATAAAGTTGAACACACCACAGCTTCAAGGCCACATACTCCTGTTTACCTGAGGGAGTATCGGTGTATGTAGCGCCACAAGCTGTGTCCTTGAGAGTGCTCAGACTGCCAACTTTGGCCTGAGGTTATGGCGAAGGGAAATGAGGTCACGGAGAACAGAACAGATTCGGTGGCACTGCGTTTTCCCTGTTTAGACGGGAATACGAAGAGATACAGAAAATGTGCTGTGTCTCAGCCCTTTCAATGCAGGATGATTTGTTTGAAAAATCTCCGAGAGAGGATAACTAAACAACCATTTGACGGGTCGTCGTGATTTTTTGTATGTAGGTAGCTTAAGTGATGCTTGACACAATTAAACTACAATTATGCAAATCAGGATCTAACTTTCATAATTAATGTGGACATTCTATAAATCTGCTTTATTCCATATTAGGGCTATGAAACACTTGTGACATATGTAATTGAAAGCGACAAAATCATTGGCAGATATTGATTATGTAAATGAAGACGTAATTTGCATAATTAATGGGAAATTGGTACAATTTTATGTTGGTAACTGCTGGAGACATAAATCGTCCGTCTTTGCTCTCTTCCAAGGAATACCACTATCACTTGCCTTAATGCATATTTGTTACGTGAATGCGTGGAAGCTGTAAGTATAAGGTATGGAGAAGTACAACAATCATCCTCAGGTAAAGTGAAATATGGTGCTTAAGCTTTTCAAGTCAAGTATACATTGCGATCTTCGTCTTCACTTCGCGCGCTGATAGTGATACGCAAACCCCCTAGGTCCGCTGCGCTCGTACAATCGGCCTGTTCTTCTAGTACTGCATGGGTGCCATCTCTTCTGTAACGGGGTGGTTCAGGGTT